ATGCAAGGAGGATCTATAATTCACACATGAATGAAGGCTACATAATAACCTCCAAAACTTATCACAGAAGACGGTGTACTACTCACACTATTGTTAATTTACAACCTGCTTTCTCCACTCAGGCACTGGGGGATCACAGAATGGAAAAAACACAAATCACAGATAGGGATGGCTGCAGGCAAGACTTCTGGCATTCACTTCTTCAAGAATTCACTTGGTGTGACTAGGAATTGAGAATTGACACTCATACTGCCCTCCTGTATCCTAGGTACTACCATTCTAAGTCTATTGTATGTACATTGTCAAGTAAATCCCCGTGTATGACAGTTATATCATGCAGCGTTATCTTTTATTCTTATCTTAGATTTCCACATAATTGTCTGAGGACTCATTCTTCCTCTTCTTTATCATCACTTTTTTATAGCTTCTCCTGAAAGAGGTTAAATCAATTTTCTTAGATAGGGGGGAGGGGAATTCTAGGCATGATGAGAATACATGATGCAAGTATTTCCTTCTTTCTTTCTTTTCATTTATATATTTTCATTTTTACCCATGAACATATTCCAAGGGCAATCAACCAATACTGTTATTTATCTTTATTTAGTTTGTGGTGTGTTATAAATATCTCAAAAATACCTTATACTATACACACACATTTTGAAATAAAGAAAAATATAGTCTACAGTGCAGAAAGAAATAATATAGCTTATAATATCTGCCTTTCTTTCAACTAAATATTTCTCAACTATGGAAGCCTTCCCACAAAACTCACACAAGCATATTTTTAAAAACAAAATCTACAATGTACAAAATGCTGTAATGATTAATATTCTATTTTTATAAATTTATGCTATGTAACAAATATTGACATCTATATATCTATAGATCTCTATAGCTACATATATCCCTTCAATTTGATCATTTGCTGTTTCTCAGGCGTCTATTGATGACATATTTCATGATTCTCAAGATAATTACAGTCAATATTCAATTTTAAGAGAGCCTTTTAAATCCGTTTTGAGAATATATTTACAGAGATACTGTAATGTACCACTGCAAATTCCAAGCAAAATATATAGTTAATGACTAAAAAACCTTGGTACAATTTTAATTATGAGCATAAACAATAAATGGAATCACAAGATACACTGATAAAGAAGAAAAAAAAATTTGTCACCAAAGCAAGGACATTCAAACATTATAATAAAAAGGCACTAGCAATATGTTCTGTTACATGCAGCAAAAGGGATAGTAACAGAAAAGACAGTCTTTTCCAACCTGAATTTTTTATTTGCATATTCTCACTCACTAAATCTTTTACATAATACTTCTTCTTCTGTGACAGAATAGGAATATAAAAAAAATATGAGAATGAAATACTGCTTACAATCATTTCCAAAATCTCTCTTTCTCAATATCAAATGTAGGTCACAATTACATCCAAGTATGTTTATAAAACAGCCATTCAAGCAGCAAAAGCCTATATACTTATAAATAACATAATGCACAACAGCTCTGGAGAAATATGCCTTTTAAAAGAACCAATAAAATTTACAAATTCTTCAATGAAAAGTTCCACCTTTCCTTCTCATTTCGGATGATGATCTATAATGCTCTGAATTTCATAGGATTTGGGCTTAAAGACACAGTATTTTACATATCATATAAAGAATGGTCTACCTAGTGTGTAATTATACTGTCAAAGATTTATCATAACTATGCATACTATACATCACCTATTACATCTAAACATGAAGCACCTACCCTATAAATTATTTCAGCTACTAGACATCCCAATCCTACACCTGTCTTACTAAAAATCACCTGAAATGCAAGCTTACGGAAATAACCAACGATAGAGAGGTAAAATATCGACACAGTCCCTGGTTCCTCCTCCAACACAAGTGAAACCAAGAATCCTTTGAGAATCCCCTAGAACATCCTGACTGAACGTGTGGTTGTGGTGGAAGAATCTTTGAGGAAAGACTTCCATATCTTCTTCCAAGGAATACTGTAAGAGCAGTGATATACGAATGGGAGAGCAATAATCGAGAAATCCCACGTCTGTCGACTGACTTCATCCTTAAGCAGATAAAAGGACTCCCGAGATACGTAGAGTGCTTTTCACGCCAATATGCCCCTTAATTATAATACCAGGCGAGTCCCTCTGGGTATCCTTCGCTCCCTCGTTACCTTTACAGTTCACGACGACCCCCGGAGGAGCCTGTCTGCGAACCTCCGCTGGACAAAAGTCACAAGACGAAATCCTTCTCATAACCTCCCTCCGCCGCCTCAGCCTCCATATTTGTTTACGAGGAGGAACCTCCCTGGATTCACTGCGGAGGGAGACAAATGAACGTCGCCGAAAAGGGTTCAGAGACCTAGAAGAGGATCTAAATGTCGATTGTAAGGGATAGTATTGGATTCTTCTGAAAGTGAGAGGATTGGATCTTCCTTTACGCGAGATAGCTGGGAGAGGCTCATCATCCTATTGTTTACA